CATTTTCAACCTATAAATGAGTAAAGCATTTCTTCTCTGAGTTATTCTAAAACATCGCTTGAGTATGAAACTGTACTCTAAATTTTAAGCTTAATATTGAAATTAAACTTTAGGACTTGAGACAAGTTTTGAAACATAGTAAATTCTGTGTCGCGATGGAATCATATTTTTAAAAATTAATCATAGGCTTCGTTTGGTTTATTTTTTTACGGTATATCAACCACAATGGGTTATTGAATGCCGACAATTTTTATTGTTGGTAATATTTCCATTAAAAATCTATATCTGGTAATATTTTTTCTCCAAAAATATATCGGTGGTAATATTTTTTTAAAAATGTATTAGTGATAATAATTTTTACTAAATATTTCTGTTATTAAAACCACCAGTTTGGTGGGTTAACTATTTACACATAACTAGGACCATACCAGGTGATACCACCCTGGGTCAGGGTGGACTTGGGAACACCAGCATTTAAGAAGTGGTTCCGTGCTCCACAGAACCTCCAGATCAGAGGCCTTGCTTTTGGACGCAATTTATCGTCTTACCTAAGGCTCAAAATAATTATAATATATATATATATAATATATATATATATATATATATATATATATATATATATATATATGTGTGTGTGTGTGTGTGTGTGTGTGTGTGTGTGTGTTGGTGTGAGTGTTTGCGTGTGTTTGTGTGTATTGGAAATGATGTTTGTTGGTTTTATGTAAAACGTGTAAAAACATTTCATCCACTTGACACACCTTTTTTTTCCCTCCCCATAGGTTAAATATTGCCAATCTTTATTTTACTCCTATGTCCGTATCTGCTGTTAAGAATGTCATCTTTGCAGAGTCTATTAAGGAGGAGATGAGATGGTTTCATGCCTCTTCTGAAGACATTTGTGTGAATGTAAATGACAAGAATAGAATTTGAACTCGGCTCTCCAAAGCTATACCCCACATCACCTCATATATTATAAATATTATTCTTATATTACCAGCAGTAAAACAATAAAACTTTTTTCTGGTTATGTTCCTCAAAAAAAAAAAAAGAATGTCGATTATGACCGAAAAACATTCAGAAAAAAAAGGGAGTGCCGATGATATGTAGAGCAATATATAATTTTTATGTCTATATCTCTGAGATGAGGTATTGTAACTATTTCCACTAGTTACATTGTTCCTACTGTTGCCCATATCTTTACTGTAACAAGAATGCATGGCCCAGTGGTTAAAGCTTTTGGCAGATTCATCCAAAAAGTGACTTGAACGATTGACCTGTGAGTTCAATCCCTGCCCTCAGTGGAAAGAGAAAAACTTGGAGAGTTATCAAAGGGAATTAACTAAAACTGAGATATCTAAAAAGAATCAAGGAAATTAGAACGATTTACCCGCATGAACTGGATAAAGGGTTCGGTTCGAAATTCCAACAAATACTATCTGAAGAAGGCCGGAGGGTACAACAGCCGAAACGTTGTGAATGTGACAGCAAAGATCAGGGCAACAGTCCGAATAGTGCAAATAATATATAATTTGCAAGGACGTTTGCGTCCTGGGTTCGAATCTTGCTATAGACGATTGGTGAAGAAGGTAGAATTTAGGAAGAATCTCTGCTACGATAAGAGAACCGTCTTACTTTGAAAATCAGGATTGGAAAATTTGGCTTTTATTGAGATCGAACACTGAACACTGTCGTTGCTTAAGAAAATATCATTAGCCATTTCGTACTGTATTGATCCAAACTTAAAAATAAACAATTAATATAGGTCTACCTACTTTGAAAAAATCCATTCGTATTTCTTTTATTTTAGTAAGGCACATACGTTAGCAATTAATACCAACGGCAATAAAGACATACCTATCGCAGAAGGCAAGCTATTTGATTTCATCTTTGTTGTTATTAACCCAATATTTCAACTGATAATTATTTACCCTTCAGAGGGATCTGGTCGTTAAAATGCACATCCTAATTGTAAAAGTATTTGCCAATTTAAGCGGAGGTCTAGATTAGCAACAAGGTTTCAATTTACAGTTGAATTGGCTAGATGTAACATTAAGTTATTTCGCTTGTGGAACTCTCTTTCGGCTCAATGCTTCTACAGCCAAATTTAATCTTCAAAAATTTAAATGCAATGTCAATCGCTGTCTACTGTTTTCTTCATTACTCTTCTAATGTTTTCGCTCTCTAATAAAGCTTCGCTTTTTTTATTATTTCACACTCAGTCACCTCTTGTATCTTAGTGGCTTTAATACCTTAACTGGGGCGAAATGATTAAAAAAAACATCCGAAATTTATTGAGTAAAAATAATTTGTTGCGAAAAGAAATTTTGTGAGGTGATCCAAAATCCCCCTGAAGAAGATCATGGAAATAACCGATCGAAATATTTTTTGGCTGATATTATACTGTTTCGCATAAAGTGCCGAATTAAATTCCACTCACGATGCGGCTTAATCACGGTAGACTTAAATAAGGCCGTATTAGATTGCATCAATTGATCTAACACTGATTTTCAAATTATGCATTAAGCTGTGGCACATGATGCTTCTGATTCTCTATATTGCCTCATCTTATGCTATCGAAATGGATTTAGGTAAGTCGAAAGATTCCCACTACCTTTAATATAAATGAAAGGGGTTCGATACGTTTTGGCGTAGTTCATTTAGCGTCGCTGATTCAGCATGGCCGATTCGGCGTGAGAAAAATAATTGGACAATCCGGCAGAGCCGTTTAGGCGTCAGACTGTTTCGACGTCACTGTCTTTGACCGGAGCCAACCCCACAAAAATAGGATAAAAACATTGAAATCACCCAACTTTCAATATGACTTTTTATTCATTTAAGGAATCAACGATCCAATTAAAACACTAATGGGACAATGCAAATTAAAAATTAAATTAAAAATATTGTATTTAAAAAAAAGCTATTTATCTTAGAAATTATTCTTGCTCGTTGCGTCAGCAATAAAAAGGTATCCATTGTGTATCACTTTGTTTCTTCCACGTTTTGATAAAATATTTGCTTCCACTGGGACTGAAAAATATGAAGCTGCACTAAAAGAAATATAAAAATACCTCCAGCTACTCTTTTTCTTAAACGTGCAAGATAGATTCACGTAAACATTCCTAGCAGAAAAACTGGCCCGTGATTCAATATAATTCTTCCACTTCTTCATGTCCGTGGAAAACGTGAGACCAAGTGAGTTGGTCCTCTGGTGATTGGCATTATGTAACAGATGAGTTGCCATGTATTTTGTGGCTATAGAAAAAAGGTCGAAATCTCAAATGTGGACCTTTTCTTGCCTGAAATGAAAAAAAAAAAGGCCGAGTGTAAACATGGCTTTGTTTAAATGTGCAAAATGAAAAGTGAAACGTATGAACCGATTAATGTTCGCAGAGCAAGTCACCTGCCATAATTCTTTGTTCAGCATTCCTCCTCAACAAGATTCTGCTAGAGATAACCTCCTATCGTACGGTTCACACTCCTCCCTGTCCTTTTGAAAAAAAGTAAAGATTTATTCCTTGTTTCCTATTTAGGATTGGGTTTTGGTTACTTCTAATGTCTTACATTCTTTGTAACTTCTAGTAGGACCATCTACATCTTAGAGGCATTATCACCTTCCTTTGGGGTGACTTGACTAAAAACAAAATGTACATTGTTCCCCAAATGGGACTGTGGAAGTTAATGGGTTATAGGAATACACCTATACAGATAACAGATTTATTTATTTCACTTCTTAAATTTCAAACCGAATGTTACCGTGGGTAATAACGGATTAAAAAATACGGCTCTGTTGAGATATGGTGGTCTTCCTGAGGTTAATAAGAAAGTATAAATCATTATTATTTATATTTGAACTTTTGACCTCATCTGTTTTTGTTATTATCATAAAGCTTCGACCGTTGTACTTTCTGGCCTTCCTCAGGTATTTATCGATCGTGTTAACGTTTTGTGAATTTCGAGCTGAAACATTCATTTAATCTGTAGTCGTAGATTGTTCTCGTCCGACTAAACTTGTCTAGAAATATCTCAGTCTGTATCATTTGAGTTTGAGTCTGCACATAGTAAATTTGAGTTCAATCTCTGGGCTGGGGCGAACAAAAGATGAGCGGGATTAAATAAGAAGAAGACGTGATACTCCAAGCCATAGGCAGTAGAAGGTGAACAAACACGGTGTTTTAAATAAAGGGTTCCCATCGAAATATACTAAAAATTACACCGATGGACAAGTACCTGATGAAGGCAGGAGAATGCAGCGGTAGAAACTTCGTGATAAAAACAACAAAGAAGAAGGAAATAATCCAAATCTACATAATGTAAATAATGATAACTCCCTATCCTTGTAAATTGTTAACAACATAATTTTTATTTGCTTGTTAAAATATTTATAATGTGACGCCCTTTTTTTTTAGGGAAATTTAAACTAAAATATAAAATAAAATGTCACAAAATATATGAAACATGGCGTCTTTAAAATTTGTTTTCAAAGTATAAGTCGAAAAATAAAAATGTCCGGTGAAAGCTCATACATCGCTGATACATATATTCTTTTTCGATATAACGAACTGGATTATAACAACAGAAACATCTAGAAAGATAATAAAATAAAACAAAGTCCCAGGTAGAAGGAAATTCAGCTGGGAAGCTGTTTTTGAAATGTCAGCATATATACGCTGGCCAATTGTTTTTCTTCTCGCGAATGCTGTAATGGGAACGCATGCGCATTGACGATTTCTGTACGCTGTATTTATTGTCCAATATATCTTGCTATATTAATCGTTTCTTTTCCCATATGAGTTGCACAAATTGGACTCGCTGTCTCTAGAAGAACTAAGAAACACAGGAGGAAGTAAGTAATATATAAAGAATATATAAAGACAGAGAAATAAAAGAAAAGATGTGAATAGAATAGAAGGGATTAAAATTAAAAGCAGAAAGGAATGTAAACAGTAGAAACGTAGAAGAGGAAGAGAAGAAGGGAAAAGAGGAACAAAGGAAGTTTTAACGCAGAATGAAAAGGAGGAGGAAGAGGAGGAGGAAGAAGAAGAGGAACAAAGGAAGCCTTAACGCTAAATGAAGAGAAGGAAGGGGAGAAGAAAAAAAGAACAAAGGTAGCCTTAATGCGGAATGAAGAGGAGGAGGAGGAAGAGGAGGGGAAGGAATAACAAAAAGAACAAAGGTAGCCTTAACGCTAAAATGAAGAGAAGGAAGGGAGAGAAAAAAAGAACAAAGGTAGCCTTAATGCGGAATGAAGAGGAGGAGGAGAAGAGGGGGGGAAGGAATAACAAGAACAAAGGTAGCCTTAACGCTAAATGAAGAGAAGGAAGGGGAGAAGAAAAAAAGAACAAGGTAGCCTTAATGCGGAATGAAGAGGAGGAGGAAGAGGAGGGGAAGGAATAACAGGAACAAAGGTAGCCTTAACGCTAAATGAAGAAGAAGGAAGGGGAGAAGAAAAAAAAGAACAAAAGGTAGCCTTAATGCGGAATGAAGAGGAGGAGGAAGAGGAGGGGGAAGGAATAACAGGAACAAAGGTAGCCTTAACGCTAAATGAAGAGAAGGAAGGGGAGAAGAAAAAAAGAACAAAGGTAGCCTTAATGCGGAATGAAGAGGAGGAGGAAGAGGAGGGGGGAAGGAATAACAAGAACAAAGGTAGCCTTAACGCTAAATGAAGAGAAGGAAGGGGAGAAGAAAAAAAAGAGGAACAAAGGTATCCTTAACGCGGGATGAAAAGGAAGAGGAGGAAGATTAAAAGGAACAAAGGAAGCCCTAACGCTGAAGCGAAGAACAATTGTAGAAAAATCGACTTAAAAATGAAAGGAAAGGAAATAAATGATGAAAAAACAAAGAATTAAAAAAAAAACTTAAATGTTTAAAACATAACAAAGGAAGAGAACAGACGGGACCAGCCTTGTGGGCACATATGAAAAGATACCGGAAAAAGAACAAGTGAGATGAAAGAGAAGAAAATAAAAAAAAGAGGAAGAAGACAAGGGAGAAGAGGGGAAACAAAGTGAGATGCGGGGGTGAAAAAAATGAAAAGGAAGACAGCGAGGAAAAGAAAAGAAAAGCAGACAAGAAGTTCATGGAATTTGAAATCATCTGTTTTTAATGTATATATCATGAAAACAGTCACTGCACACACAGGATAGGACAATTCAATTAGAAAGCAAGACAATAGAGTTGAATTGGTATGGCTTAATTACTATCCTGTATGGCAGCCAATTCTGTTCAACATCCTCTAAGACGAAGAAGTGGTTTTTCTACTATGTAAGTGGCATGGCGGGTCCTAGCCGTAAAGGTTAGACCTGGCGGACCAAAAAAAAATATAGTTTGTCCGAGCACTTTCCATAGAATGGGTGATAGGATAGGGAGAGTCTCGCCACATCCCGCTTGTGAGAGATAGATTGGAGAGTGAAAAGTAATTAATCACCGACAAGGTCTCAGAGACGATTTTGAAAAGAAATGGAAAAATATGGCCAAGGTACTCCATTTTCGGTCCGATCTGGCTCTTATAAATGTAGAGGATAGCATGAAGCGTCAGCTACTTACTGGAGCAGTACAGGGAGCCGAGCATTTAATCTGCATCGATCGTATATAAGTTTCACTTGAGGTCTGGTGTGAGTTTGAGGCTAATATTCTCACAAGACACGGTGCCAAGGGGACATCGTTATGACTGGCGATACTTTGGGGGTCTGATTGTCCGTGATATTGCTTAGGCAAAGTGGAAAAAATCTGGGTAAAGTGTTTCGTCCTCAAGACAGATTTCATCGGACTAAAGTAATGTTTTTGTTGAAGCCATTATTTTTGTGTAGGAAGGAGAGGGGGAAATATAAACGTCGGCAGCGTTTATAATTATTTATTCAGGGAAAAGATATGTAAACACTGAATATTAAATGTTTCAATGTTAGATTTAATTTTTAAATTTTATTTGCTTTTTTTAAATTTTTGTGATTTAATTTATTTGAATTTGTTGGACACGGAATCTAGCTGATCTCATTCATTTTACCTAAGATTTTCTTATTGTTTTCATTCTTTTGCTATTAAGTACCCCACATTGTATTAACATAAGTTTTGCTAAGAAAGGTGAAATTATGTGAGAATTTGGACGCAAAAGAAAATATTTTTAAAAGGGAAGAATGAAGAAACGGATAAAAAGAAAAGGTGACATTAGTTCCAGTAATTATTTACATTATTCGGACTATTTTCCTCGTCTTTGTCGCTATATTTATTACAACGTTTCGGCCGTTGTACACTCCGGCCTTCTTCAGGTGGTTGAAATGTCGAACTTTATTTCGCTCACTGGGATAGACTGTTCTAGTTCCATGTGCCATGTCTAATGGATGTCAGTTATCTCCTGTTAATTCCCCTATCCAATTTCTCCACTGCCTTAACCGGGTATTGAACTCACACCTTTGGGTCCTGTCACTGGATCTAACTAACGTTAAGCAGTGGATAAAGGCGTTAGATTGAAGATGAAGATCGAACCGGATGTCCAGTTGAGTGTGATGAAAAGCTTCTTGAAGCAGCCCTTGAAGAAAATCCTGCTTTATCAGTTAAGGAATTGGCAGTGGTTCTCAGTTCAAACCATACAACTGTTCATCGTCATCTTCAACAACTTGGAAAAGTTCCTAAACTTGGAAAGTGTGTGCCTCATGAATTGTCTGAAAACAACCTCAAATCCCAAGTTAACATCTGCTCTTCTCTCCATTCTCGCCAACTTGTTTCACCTTTTTTGGATAGACTTGTGACTGGCGACGAAAAATGCATCATAGACAGTGACTTGGTAAAAGGGAAGGACCCCAGCCACAGCCGATAAGGGGACTTCATGGGCAAAAGGTTCTTCTTTCAATCTGGTGGGATCGCCAAGGAATAATCCACTTACCACCTAATGCAACAATTAATGCTCAAATATACTGTCAGCAATTAGAGTGTTTGAACCAAGCTTTGAGGGAAAAAAAAGACCTGCTCTAGTGAATCGAAAAGAGGTGATGTTTCATCAGGACAATGCGCGACTCCACACAGAAAGAATCACGTCATAAAAGATCGAACTTGGTTGGGAGAAAATTCCTCAACCCACCTTATTTTCCCGACTACCATTTGTTTTGTAGCTTACAGAATCATTTGGAAGAAACTGCTTTTGTAACACAGGAAGAGGTTAAAACTGACATTTGTGAATTCTTCGAATCAAAGCCAAAAGAATTTTACAGTAATGGAATTAGTAAGCTTGTTAATAGATGGAAGGAAGTCATAGATAATCAGGGAAAATACATTGTTGATCGAATCTGTAATTAAATGTAACATTTGGTCACTTGTTTTCTTTATTCAAAATTCGGACAGAACTTATGGGATGACCTGATAGATAAAAAAAAAACTAATAATAAAAATAACATTCAATAAACCAGGAAAATTTCAGCTGAATTATATTGTTAACCAACTTGAGACATTCGCGTCGAAATGCTCATTAGGTTTAAATATCTGATAAATCTATTGAAGGTATTAACATAACACATATTTATACCTTTTCTAGAAGTAACAAACATCTTACACTCATGAGCGTTTCGGAGCGGAACTTGTGAGCCGACTAAACAGATAATTCACTTGATTTTTCATGATTTATTATAGCGCTCCAGTTATCTATTTTGCGTTTTTGCCAGACTGTCTCCTAAACTGAAAAATCGCGTTTAACTCTCGTAATTTCACGTTTTTTTTTTCACTTGTATTATCATTACTAGTAAGACTACTATTACGCGTCCTGGGTAAGACGATAAATTGCATCCCCTTCCTGGGTAAGATTATAAACTACATCCGACAGCAATGTCTCTGATCAGGAGGTTTTGAGGAGCGTAGAACCATCTCTTAATTACTGGTCTTCCCAGTTCCACCCTGACCCTGGGAGGTAGAACCTGTTAGGGTCCCATCTATGAGGTCAAAACACTATGAAAGTGTAAAAATAAGTTTTAACACCACCAACAGATTTTTGTAAAAATATATTACCAGCAATGAATGTTAAAGAAAAAAATATGATTACCAGCAAAACATTATTAGCAGCAATACATTTTTGGAAAAAATATTACCAACAATAAAAATCTTGTCGGCATTAAATAACCCATTGAAGTCGATATGCAAAACAAACCAAATCTGTGTACTATTACTATTAATAGTACTACTAATAACAATAATTCAATATAATGATCTCATGATAGAAATCAGTAGAATGTGTCATTTCAAGACAATAATTTTACCTGTTATTAATAAGGATTTGTCGATGATATCAAAAGGAGTAAACTAATGCCTGGCTCAAATTCCTGGTGAGCAAATATATGCGAATTACAAAAAATCTTACTTATAAGGAATTCGCACATCTTGCATAGTTATATAGTGACAATGTTTGCACTATTTATCACACCCTGATTGCAAACATCACATCAATTTGCACCTTCTGATTCAAAAACCTTATTGTCTCTTAAAGACAATTGGTGCTGCTGCAACAACAACAACAACAAGAATCTAGTCACTGGATTTAACCAGCGTCTTTATACACTGGGATGTGTTCTCTAGAAGTTGGTTAGATCTAGTGACTAGACCCAAAGATTTGTGAGTTCCATACCAGACTACAGCAGTGGTGAACCAAAACTTGGAGAGATGAGTTAAAGAGGAAATAACTGAGACATGCAAAAGAGTCATGGCACGTGGAACTAGAAAAATATACCCCGGTGGAGGAAATAAAGAGTTCGGTTCGAAATTCCAATCACCTGAAAGAGGCCGGAGCGTACAATGGCCGAAACATTGTGCAAATGGCAATGAAGATGAGGATAACAGTCCGAGTAATGTCAATAATTCAAGTAATCATAATACCTCATTTCAGAGATATAGACAAAATAATAATAATTGATTAAGAAAACTATTGATGGAAACATCAAGAAAGAACATCGTATGAGATCTATTTGAAGTATAAAAGATTGTATGGATGTATACAGATCACAAATTCGTAACAAAAAATCGAACATTCATTTGCTTCGGTCGCTGATAAAAATTTGGCGAATATTTGAGTTAAACTGCAATCCAAAACAAAGAAAACAAGACCATTAGTAAATAAACTAAAATCTAAACTCCTTGGCGAGAGATGCCATTTTGCAGTGACGTGATCTCACTATCTTATAAGTGGTATGAACTTGAGTGAATATAAAGAAAATCTAGTCAAAAGAATCAGGAAGAAGAGAAACTATATATATATAGAGAGAGAGAGAAACAGGACAGCAATGAATTTTTTTTTTTTTTTTGTTAATCCCGTGACTCGTAGCGCCGGTTTTGAACTCAGAGATTTTCCTTCTCCTAGAACGGTTGCCACCAGACTGTCCCGCTATTTACCCATAGCTGGAAGGAGAAGATAAGAATTCATACATTTCTCAAGAGTATTAGCACGTAAGTGAATGTAATGGATCCGACTGGAATTCGAACTCGGCTCTCCAATTCCTCAATCCGAACCGCTATCCATTATTCCACCGTGTCTAGTGAATATTGCATATATGTAGGTAATTTCATAGGTCCGGAGGTTTTTGATGAAACATTTCATGATAATCTTACATAATAAAATATTTTATTTTTCAACATATTCTCTTCCCATGTTAATGTAATTAAACAAACGCTATTTTATTAATCACACATTTGCAACATAGTGCAATGAGGTTACAGACTCCATATTCAGGTAATCGTTCTGTCCAATTATTGGCTTATTGATTATTATCGCATTTTGAAGAAGGAAGTGAAAGAAAGGAGGAGAAAGTATACGGCAGAAGGAGGAGGAAAAGAAGTGAGGAAAAAAGAGAGAAGAAAGAAGGTAGGAAGGATGGAAAGAGGAAGAGAAAGGGGAAGAAAAAGAAAGAAGCAGAAAAAGGATGAGAAGGAAAGGTTAACATAGGAAGAAGGCAAAGGAGGAAAAGAGAGAGAAGGAAGAGGAGGAAGAAGAAAAAGTAAGAAGATGGAAATGGAAGCAGATTGGAGGAGGAAGAGGATGAACTCTAAAAGAAGAAGACGGTAGAAGAAAAAGAAAATGAAGTAAAAGGGAGGAGGAATTGAGGAGAAAAAGGAAAAAGAAACGTATAAGAAGAAAAAGAAAAAGAAAAATGGTAGATGGTAGATGAGAAAGATAGGAATAAGAAGAAGAAAGATAGAAATAAGAAAAATAATGAGGAGGAGAAAAGATAGGAATAATAGGAAGAGGAAAAAAGATGGAGGGTGAGAAAGATAGGAATAGGGAGAAAGATAGGAATACGAAGAAGAAGAAGAAGAAGAAGAAGAAGAAGAAGAAGAAGAAGAAGAAGACAAATGATGAGCAAGAGAAAGAAGTACAAGAAATGAGATGGTAAAATAGAATAATGATTGCAAGAACAAAAGAAGTTTGACGTCATCAAAGAAAGCGCCAAAGAATGAAACAATAATAAAAATAGATTTTTGTTTTCCAAACGTTTGTCAGAGAAAAACGCGAATGTCAATTTTTCTTTCTTTTCATAAAATCTTTTATTATTTCATTTAGTTTTACGCTTTTTTGTTACGTTTCCTGTTCGCAACTGATACGAATTCTCTGATTACATCGAGTCACTTTTATGATATCGGCATGAATATATGAATGCATAGCAGTCTCTTAATAACGCTCTCTCTTTGCGTATTCCCTCACACTCCACCATATATATATATATATATATATATATATATATATATATATATATATATATATATATATATATATATATATATATATATATATATATATATATATATATATATATTGTGCCGATGAAAGAAATTCGAATAATAATAACAACATGATGTTGATAATATAGAAAGCGTGTTTTGTTTCTATGCTGAGGGTAAGAGCTGCATGGGTTTGGTTTTCTTCACTCCGAGTGGATATCAAATCAAATAAATACTACTGCTACTATTACTAATACCACTACTACTACGAATCATATTAATAATAATAATAATAAGAATAATTCCTGTATATTATTACGCTCCTACAAATAGTAGAAACACGATTAGAAAAATGTAAAAAACATCGGAAATTTCGGACATAGCTTTGTCCTTTCTCACCGTAAAAGGAAATCATTATTTTTCATTGAGAATGGACACAGGCATGTCTGAAGATTACAATTTTTGATATTTTTCTCATCATCATTCTATTTTATCTGATGGCCTAATAATAAACCACATTATTATTATTATTATTATTATTATTATTATTATTATTATTATTATTATTATTATTATTCCTTTGATTTCTGTTGCATACACATTTCCTTCCATGTGCCGAGCAGAGATCTAAGGTCAGAAATGGCTTCGTGACATTTTCCACTGATCATTTCTGTAACAAAAACAAACAACAAAAAAATTACTAAAATCATACACATAGATGAAACTCATTTTAATGTGTAAGCTGTACTGGTCAATTCATTTTTTTTGTATTTCTTTAAGGCAGGGGCTACTAGGAATCCTTTCAATGTCCCTATCAGTAACTTTTCCAATCAATCTGAGTGTTCTAACTGCAACTGGAATTATTGATGTCCCCGTGTGTCATATTTTTGAGATTTCCACTTCAAGATCCTTGTATTTTGATAGTTTTTTGAAGATCTTCAAAGATACATTACAATCAGCAGTAAGTGCCATGTCAATGAGAAAGTATATTCTCTTCTTCTTCTTCTCATTATTATTATTATTATTATTTCTTTCAGGATTTTTCATCAGTCTGCTAAAAATACGTTCACTAAAAAGCTTACGTGCATACATGAACTCTCTGTTTTCTCAGTCTCTCTCCATATATATATATATATATATATATATATATATATATATATATATATATATATGAATATCTTTGTTAAAATGTCCCGTATATATATATATATATATATATATATATATATATATATATATATATACATTTTAACAAAGATATTCATATATATATATATATATATATATATACGGACATTTTAACAAAGATATTCATATATATATATATATATATATATATATATATATATATATATATATATAAAGATATTCAAAGATATTCATATATATATATATGAATATCTTTGTTAAATATCTTTGTTGGCAAGATTGTCTCACTGGATTGATTACGATTGAATTATGATCTCTAATCGCGCTGGGTGCTTCGTGGTTTCGCCTTATGCCAAATCTTTTTACTGAATGTACTCACTTAGCAAATGTAAGACATACGACAAAGAACCCAACATGAGAAAACTGCTTTTAAACTACAAACTCCCTATGATTTCCCTCGAACGTCCATATCTGCTCGAAGCCTATCTGAATGGAAACAAATTACGTCACACACTACAAAAATGGACTATATTGCTAAGCAGACGCTCGTTCGCAGCTAAACTGGTATAGCACGTCATGACAGTTCCGTGTAGGATAAGGGTTCGATTCCTGTCAGAGGACGCATATTTTCTATGAAATTTCTCGGACGTTCAGGCCGATAAATGTTGTTACTACTGTTTATTATAAACAGATACATTTCATTAAATATTTGTGTATATATAAATAACGTATAGTAATAAAATATATTAAAATAGTTGTCGGACTTAGTATATTTCATAGTGTATATATATATATATATATATATATATATATATATATGCGCATGTGCGTATGTGTATGTACATAGTTTAATTCTTTCACTCGAAACAAGGTGCCAATGACACTAGAGGACAGGGCTATACAGAAACTGAAAGTGAAAGTGAATGAAAATGAGAAAATTAAAAATGGAGAGGACTGAAGAAAGGACAAAAAACGAACAAGCTTCAAGAAGATATAAAATGACGATTGACGTTGCATTTCAATACTCGATGATTGTAGTTATCAGGGAAGGAAGAAATAGGAAGGTACAACAGTGGGAAATGCGAGAAAAAAACTTTAGAGTATAAATGACGGTTGCAACTCGCTATAAGAGTAAAGCAGCGAGACGCATTTGCCAATCTAAATTCGAAGCAACGAGAAAATTAGCTCGTCCGAGCAGCTTTCCATGAAAATATTTTTAGAACAGACAGAGGGACGCCACGTCACATCGGTGTGAAAGTGACTGGCGACGAAATGCCTGGTCAGGATCGATTGTATTGCAGATCCATCTTTTCAGTTGAAGGCATACAATTGTGTTCAAAATATTTAGATTTTGATATTAAATATCTCATAGTGGTTGATATGCCCCTAAACAAAATCAACTAAACTAAACCATCTGTTTTCTCACACAGAAGCACACTTGTAAATATCCATGTAAGCACACACAGATATTAATCAAAACATGAAGACCAGACTCCTTCTCTGGTTTAATCTAATGCACGAACGATCATCCTATTTGACAAAAGACAGCATTTATTTCCACTGATTAATCAACCGACCATGAAATAAAACGACCCCGTGAAGGATGCGGCAATTTTCTGCCCAGATTCCGAGCGTTTCGACTCGATCTTACCGCCTGTAGTTTGCGTGCGATGCAGCGCACCTGTCACACGGAACAGTTGCACAGTCAGATTGAAAGTGACAACAAACGTCACCGCATTTACATTGGCAAAAATATGGCAACCATTGATCAATGTAGTTTGAGTGTGCCAGGATAAAATGTACATGCTCATTCCATTGCGTCGGTATTGCAAGTAGCAAAATCATAAAACCCATTTGATGTGAATCCAGAAAATTTCATACCAATATCACAGCCCAATTCTGCCGTCAAACTTGAGCATACATAAACTTCTTTTCCTAATCTTAGATTTGCTTTGTTTTCTTTTACAGCATATCAGCCTCAATGGGTTATTTAATGCCGACAATTTTTATTGCTGGTAATATTTTCTTTATCCAAAAATGTATTGCTGCAATATTTTTCTTCAAAACATCTATTGCTGGTAATATTTTTTCTCTCAATATATATAACTGGTAATTTTTTTTCAAAAATGTATAACTAGTAATAATGTATTGCTGGTAATCATTTTTTTACAGAAAAATATTTCTGGTATTAAAACGTATCTGTAGACTTTCATAGTGCTTTGACCCCAGTTTGCTGGTTAACTATTTGCCCATAGCTGGGACCCTAACAGGTGCTACCTCAAAGGGACAGGGTGGACTTGGGAGCACTAGAAATTAAGAGGTGGTTCCAAAACCTCGTGATCAGAGGTCTTGCTGTCGGACGTAGTTTATCGTCTTACCCAGGAAGTGGATGCAGTTTATCGTGATACCCAAGACGCGAATGTAGTTTATCGTCTTACCCAGGACGTGGATGTAGTTTATCGTCGTGCCCAGGAAGTGGATATAATTTATCGTCTTACCCAGGACGTGGATGTAGTTTATCTTCATTCTCAGGATGCGGATGTAGTTTATCGTCTTACCCAAGAATTGAATGTAGTTTATCGTCTTACCCAGGACACGGATGTAGTTTATCGTCATACCCAGGACGTGGATGTAGTTTGTCATCATTCGCAAGACGCGGATGTAGTTTATCGTCTTACCCAGAACGCGGATGTAGTTTATCGTCTTACTCGGGAGGGTCCTAATTTTACATATACTGGGGGAAAACTGATTGCATACGAATAAAAAATGAATCCATTAATATATAAAAATAGAAACGGTATAAGAGAAGTATGTGTCTTCTTATCGGACTTATTTAAAGTTTACGGTGACGTGATTATGAAATAATTAGTAATTAATATCAGGGTTAATTCTTGGTGGTCACAGACTTGATAGCATAAGAATTGCAGCTGACAAAGTGTTGATAACAGACGTAGAAAGGAAAATACAGGAGCTCTTTCAGAAGGTAGTAAATGTAAGCGAGAAATATAAATTTTAAAAAGAAATGATGTGTGGTTGTCAGCAAAAATGAAGAGCCCAACATGCGAATTAAAAATTGGAAATGCAAAAAGTCAAGCAATTATTAAAAGAAAAATATATAGGAAGTGTTTAAACACAGCATGTAAAATGCTATACCACAATCCGAAAATGTTTTGGGATAGCGAAAAATGTCTTTTAAAATCTAAACAAAGTATTAATAAACAGAAGAAAATCACGTTAAAAGCAAAGAAAAAAATACTGAACAGTTACGTAATATCGGCCATCCTATATTGCAGTGAATGCTGGACAATCTCTTGAAGAAGAGACTTGAAGCAACAGAAATGTGATTCTGCATCTGACTGAATATGTGAACAACGAGGAAGCTTTAGTGAAAATGGAAAAAAAGGACACTTATACTTAACATCAGGAAAAGGCAGTTGATATTTCCAGGGTACATAATAAATAAAGAAGGCTTAGAAAAATTGACACTCACAGGACAGATTAAAGGCAAGAAGGACAAATGGAATGCAGTGCAAATTTTAATCTGAGCCACAAAGGACAGAAAAATAGG